ACAAAGAAAAAATTGTGTTGTTCCCTTTCTGTCATTCACTTCGACATGGGGCAAGTGTACGACACTAGGGGTGGCTTTCTGGAGCCCAAACACCTCTGACATCATTGAAAAAAAGGCAATGAAATTGTTGAGCAAAACTTGCATTGCTGGCCACACCTCAGACATTCGGGTATAAATAGGCAGTGCAGAATTTGCTCACTCGTTCTGTTTTTTGGAGCCAAATACATCGTTTCTCTGTGAGAAGCGGCACTCGTTCACCTCTTGATCTTCTCGTCATTGGATCTACAGCACAGGCAGCGTACTCTTCCTTCTCATACACAGCTAAGTGTTGTGAGAGTACCCCTGGGTGCTTCAATGGCGATCTTTAAGAGCAAATTTCCTCATAAAACAGTAAATTCTCTAAAAGAGAGTCACGGGTTCATCCCAGACGGTCCAGCTGATTTGTAGTCGATTCGGCCAGGCACAGGTAGATCTGTTTGCCTCGCTAAAGTCCACTCACTGCCAGTTGTGTTATTCCATGACCACGAGGCTCTCCTGCACTGGCTCACAGCTGGCCCCTGGGCCTACGCAAATATGCGTTTCCCTCCGTGAACCTCATTTCACAGACACTGTGCAAAGTCAGGGAAGACAAGGAACAACTATTGCTTGTGGCACCATATTGGCCCAACAAGACTTGGATCTCGGAGTTCGTGCTACTGGCATCAGCTCCTCCCTGGCAGATTCCCCTGAGGAGGGACCTGTCTGGCACCCGCACCCGGATCTCTGGAACCTCCATGTCTGGTCCCTGGATGTGAAAATGTGGCATCGGATCTGTTCTATCTTTCCTCCGAGAGGGTCTGGACAGGCACCTATCTGGCTCTACCCTTAAGGTGTAAGTGACCGCTATTGCGGCAAACCACAACACTGTAGGTGGCATGAAGACGGCCTTTCTGACTGCACTCACTTCTATCAAGAGGGTGGAGGATCTCCAAGCCCTCTCCACCAGCGAATGTTGGAGAATGAGGTCTTAACTCTTTGGTGTTGGAAAGTTACGAGGAGGAGAGGTGCATTTGGTCATGACATGTTGGCTTGTCAACATCTGTGCCCCTGTGGTCTCATAACGCAGTTCAGCAGCTGTGGCGTTTAGTATAGGGACCCCCAGTGTTATACACAACAACGAAGTGAACGACAGAAAGGGAATGTCTCGGTTGCGTATGGTAACCCTCGTTCCCTGGTGGAGGGAACAGAGACATTGTGTCCCTTATGCCACAAATCTGAACTGCCTCTGAGTGGGTTGAAACGCTTCTCGACGACTCTTTTTCAGCATCTTCTGCATATTTGAACCCTTGCCAGCAGTGTCTGTATTTGAGATTCATAATAAAAAAATGTTGGTAACACTTTACTTAAAGCCTTTCCCAGAACAATATGGTTATATCCTTATTTTTCCGAAAAGGCTGTAACTCAACAAAAACTGATACTCACAAAACCTGATACATGTGAAGTCCACTGTAAATAATAATACTTTCACACATGAAATGTCCTCTGTTTGAGGGCATCAGAATTAGTGTCCATTGATTTTAATGTGCGATTTAATCTTCTGTTTCCCTCAGATCAAGAAACAGCAGCAGGATGTCATGGGCTTCTTGGCAGCCAATAAGATTGAGTTTGAGGAATGTGACATCGCAGCTGATGAAGACAACAGGAAGTGGATGCGAGAACACGTCCCCGAGGATTTCCGACCGGAGACAGGGAACCCTTTACCTCCTCAGATCTTCAAGGAGGACAGATACTGTGGGGTTTGTACACATGATAGATATTATGTGCTGGGTAGTAGCTCACACACTACATGAAGCAAACATAATGGAATATTAAGTAATAATTAAAGCCAAACATATATATTTTTGTCCATATTAACTTTCAAGCTCCAAAAAGGACATAAAGGTAGCGTAAAATTAATCGATATTACTAGACTGGTACATTGTTTTCTGAAATAACACATTGACTTTGTATCTGTGCATTAGGTCTTAAAAGTGGCAGCAGCCTAATATATAACTACTGCATTATATAAGTTGCCGTATTATGCTCATTTACAAGTTCATTATTTTTGGGGAATTAGAATATATTTACACAAGTTTAAAAAACACCATATTTTTCTCGTACTGTATATCTCTGCAGCAGCTCTTTGTACTCTCTGCCTGAAACACTCGGTTTTAGTTCCTATTTTAATCTAATAATATTAAAAAGAGAGAAAATCACACACTGCCCTTGAGTGAATAACATAAGTAGCTTCCATAAGGATCAATGTATATTTAATTCATACAGTGAAGACTGTGCAGTTTTATTTTTACATTAGATGATTAAATTTCTGTAGTGTTTTGTAATTGAATACTACTGTTAGAAAGACCTATCTAAAAAGTACTGTTTATCTTTACTGTATTTAGCCAACTGTTTGTAATTTGCTTCTTTATTCTTATGTTCAATAACAAAAATAAAACAAAATGATTATATTATGATAACTATACGTTCCATAAAATAAAATTAATCATATCATGAAATAAAATTTTGAAGTTTTGGCTCCCACTGACTTTAATAACATGAATATCTGAAACATTCTTCCTAATATCTTCTTTTGTATTTCCCAGTAAAAAGAAAGCCTTACAAGTTTAGAAAGACATGAGGCTGATTAAATGATGATAGAATTTTATTTTCCAGGTGAACTGTTCCTTTAACAACAGATTTAACCCAGAATATTCCTTATGATATTTTCAGGTTTAAAATCAAAAGTGATGTAGTTTACCCACCATAGATCAAGAAGTTCACAGATGACACCAATTAAAGCAATCGAAATGAATCTATTTCAGTCTGTTTTCATTGAGCTGGACACGTTTCTGTACAGGTATTTTTTACCAATATCATTTTAACTGGCGTCTGGTGTTTTGACTGATTCAAACCGACTCAAAGCCAGACCGTAAGATTTGAGCAGTGCTTTCTTTTGCTTCTGTGCTCCAGAACTATGAGGCGTTCTTCTGTGCCCGTGAGGACAATGCTGTGTATGCGTTTCTGGGCTTGACGGCGCCTCCAGGCTCAAAGGTAGGTGTCTGAGGGACATAAAGGCTCCTGTGTCCCGTGTGTTTCTACTCTTAAGAATGTAGTGCTAAAGTCCCGTCTGATGTTGCACACACATGCTCTAGTCCTTCTTCTGCTGTACTGAACAGCTTCTCACTGCAGATTTGAACTGATTCGATGGCTTTCTGTGTGTTTCTTCACAGGAAGCAGAAGCACTGTCTGAGAAAATGCAGATGTAATCTAGAGAAGCGGTTCTAGCAGAGCTGAAGAACTCCTGCACTTTCTGATGATTGAGTTTCTTTTCTTGTTGGTTCTTTTTTTTTTCTTTCTTTGCACCCATTAAATGATGTGATGAATTATTTGTCTACTCAAAAGTCCATCTTATTGATTGAACTGTTCAAACTGAAAAGAAAGCATGTCTGCAGTCGTCCAAATAGACGAGCAAACTTGATTTTAATTATATTTATTAATTCCTCTAATGTTTAAGCATGCAGTTTTTATGTTTATGCATGAATATTCTTGATTATATATGCGGTTCAAGTTACATTTAATAAGTGCGCGCATATTCAGGGTTTCTGCAGGTCTTAAAAACTCTTAATTTTACCTTTCACAAATTAAAGCCTTAAAAGGTTTTAATTAGGAGCAGAAAGTACATTCATAAAGGCAGGGTGTTAAATGCTTCATGCGCTGCAAAAAAGTATAATAAAAGTAACTGAATAATTGATACAAATATCTAAACATCCTTAAATTTACTTATAAAGTCTTGTTTGGGTAATCAACTTGTTTTTACTTTGAATGAAGTTTATTTTTCTGAGCCCACCGGCAGATATTTGTCTCTCTTTTTTTTTATCATAAATTCACTTCTTTTTTTGTACGTTTCTCAGAAAACAAGACATGCTATTTTTTGCATCTATGTTAAGAATCTTTTAGACATTTGCACTGGAAAACAAGACAAAAATACTGCGAAAGAACATCACTTTTGTGCAGTGTGATCAGGTACAGCAAAAGTTATTTCCATTTTAGTTTTTTTTTGTTGGATAAAATGAAAAGTATTGAAGAACAGTTGGAAGTTGTATTTTCCAACTTTAAAGTGCTATCACAGCTCATTGTGTTCTCCTTATGCCGAGTTCACACTGCACGATTTTAGCCCGATTTTTCCCTCGCCGACAGGTTTTGCAAAATCGCTGACAAATACCTGAAATCGGAGGCAAATCGGTGCTCGTTCACACGAGTGACAATGACGCAGTGTGAATTATCAAAGATGCGATCTGAGGGAATCGCCGACGCGTCGCCGACGCCCGCAAAATATTTGGCATGCTAAATATCTGGAGCTGTCGGCGATTCACAATCACGCTGTGTGAAATGAGTTCTGACTGAAAAACACATCGGCGATGACCTACAGCCAATGAGAGACCAAGATACAGGGCAGCGGGAAGTTCGGGGAGGAGTTATATGAAACGTAGTTTGCGGACCAGTGTTGCCAAATCCGAGATTGCCGCCGGTTGTTTTTTATGTCAGCAGGTTGAAGCGACCCCAATAACATGATATTTAGGCCCTAGAATGTGAGTTGTACCAGAAGACCTCCGCCAAAAAAATGTGTATTTTACCCCCCCCATGCGATTTTTACTAGGGGACCCCCTCGAAAGCAATTGGGCTATTTTCAGGCTAGTTTTGAGTAGTAATTGGGTGGGTTTTGTAACGAAAACCTGGCAACCCTGCACCAGACAGAGCTGTCGGCGATTCTTCCTATTGTGAAGTCATGCAATTTGAAACACCCTGTCGCCGATCCATCGTGCAGTGTGAACACAGCAACAACTGAATGCTACCTCAGATAGTCACGCAGTGTCTATCGATACATTTTCGTGATTTGTTTCATTTGTCTATTTCTTAAAGAAATGTTGGCAATTATAGTTTGCATTTTTGTATGTTTAAATATTATTTTTATTTTTTCATTATTTTTACTAAATGATTTATGCTTCATACTGCACGTTTTGCCTCAAGTATCCTTCATGTGCTAATAGAGTTATTTTTCAATTTTTAAGGGGAAGTTACTAAAACAATAGAAAACAAAAAGTGAGGCTACCTATTGCTGCTGCAGTTTTTCCCCACTATTTTCAATGTGTAAGGTATACATTTTCACCACTTGCCATTCTTTCAAATCCTGAGCTCATGCTTTCATTACAGCTGTACATACTTTTCACATTAGATTACTGTAACGTTATAACTTATATGAATCTATACTGTACAGTAATTTCCAGTACATTTGGCAGTCTCTACCATGGCAAGGCCACTGTTTACAGTATCACATGCTTAAGTTAATGTACAATGCCTGTATTTGATGTTTCCGTTAGCTGTTCATCTCATCTGATTTGTTTGCTTACAGTCACTTCGGCACTAAATCAGAACATTGATGTAACTTTTCACTAAACTCACAGCGGTCACACGAGTAACACAGTGTTCACATTGTGCTTTCATATCGCTAAAGAAACCTCGACCTTGCTGAACCATTTATTCAATGAACTCATTAATCATCATGAAATACCATAGAAACATTAATTTAGATCACACACACATACTAGATACCGATAGATTCACTGTGTAGTTGAATGCACAATCATTAATTTTTTTTAATTGCTTTGCCGCAATTTCACAAGCAATTATATACACTGAACAAAATTATAAACGCAACACTTTTGTTTTTGCCCCCCATTTGTCATGAGCTGAACTCAAAGATCTAAGGCTTTTTCTATGTACACAAAAGGCCTATTTCTTTCAAATATCGTTCCCAAATCTGTCTAAATCTGTGTTAGTGAGCACTTCTCCTTTGCCGAGATCATCCATCCACCTCAGTGGTGTGGCATATCAAGATGCTGATTAGACAGCATGATTCAGCTCATGACAAATGGGGGCAAAAACAAAAGTGTTGCATTTATAATTTTGTTCAGTATATATATATATATATATATATATATATATATATATTCATATTCTATTAATCAACTTTTTTGCAAATTCCAGTGCAGATAACAAAAGTGATTTAACTTGGATGATGACTACTATGTTCCATTGTAAGGACCAAATTAGTACTAATCTCACAACAGATTGTCAAAAATTCTCTTTTTTCAAACATTTCAGCATATTTCCAAATGCATTGGTACAAAACACAAAATAACAAATCCTTTTCAATACACATATGCGTTTCATCGATATACATATTTCATTCAGAGGAACTGTCTTTCATAATGTTATCAATATCAAACTTTTGACTGGCTTGATGAGACTTTTTTTTTTTAATGACTTAGACACTAAAAGTGGTACTTGGTGAAAGCACTCACTCATATACCTAATCTTTAGACCAAGTCTGCAAAACTACACGCACATTAAGCAAAACTCTAAACACAGTTCTTCACATTACACACACCATTAAAAACTTACAGCGCTTTTGTTTCATTTGGAAAACACTTCCATTTAAATGCCACACTCATTTACTGATGACCTACAGCCAATGATCATGTGTGAAAACACATACATTAGAAATCAAAACTCAGTGTTATGAGAAATTATTTTTACCCCCTTGCATCTCTGTTTACATTGTATGTATGTATGTATATATACAGTCATGGCCAAAAGTTTTGGCAGTGACATAAATTTTGTCATCCATGTGTGGGGTTGCTTTTCAACCAAGGGAATGGGCTCTCATAATTCTGCCCAAAAACACTGCCATGAATAAAGAATGGTATCAAAACGTCCTGCAAGAGCGACTTCTTCCAATGATCCATGAACAGTTTGGTGATGATCTGTGCATTTTCCAGCATGATGGAGCACCACGTCACAAAGCAAGAGTGATAGTGGCTCGAAGATCATCAGATTGAAATGTTGGATCCGTGGCCAGGCAACTCCCCGGATTTCAGTCCCATAGAGAACCTGTGGTCAGTCCTCAAATGGCGAGTGGACAAGAAGAAGCCCACAAAGTGTGATCAACTGTGAGAACTAATAAGGCAAGAGTGGATAGCCATCAGTCAGGATTTGGCCCAGAAGCTAATATCCAGCATGCGTCACAAAGCAAGAGTGATAGTGGCTCGAAGATCATCAGATTGAAATGTTGGATCCGTGGCCAGGTAACTCCCCGGATCTCAGTCCCATAGAGAACCTGTGGTCAGTCCTCAAATGGCGAGTGGACAAGAAGAAGCCCACAAAGTGTGATCAACTGTGAGAACTAATAAGGCAAGAGTGGATAGCCATCAGTCAGGATTTGGCCCAGAAGCTAATATCCAGCATGCCAGAGCAAAAAAAATTTTTGCCAATAAAAGCCTTTAAAACGTATGATATGCTTATCATTGTTTTTCAGTATACCATAGAAACATAATCTACTAATACTGAAGCAGCAAACTTTGCAAAACACAAAATTTATGTCACTGCCAAAACTTTTGGCCATGACTGTACGGTAGCCTTTTTTTTTGGTCATATGCATAAATATCTTTAAACCAAGTATCTTTTAATGTAATGCGTGAAATCTGACCACATCAACACAAACTGTTCTTCTGCGTTAAAGCAGCAATTTTGAATGTGTTTTGTTTGTATGTGCAGACCCAGACATTCTGGCCGTGTTATGGCATCAGTTTTTGCTGTGTTTATTTATTATGTGCAAGTTTTACCATGTTAAGATGATGAATTTGGCAGTGTTTGAATGTGTAATACTTTTTAAAGCAAATGTATCTCTAGATTTACCCACATATTAATCCTTTCTTTAATTTACTGCAATTTGCTTTACTGATAACTACTATGTGAATTTAGACTTTTCTACCTGAGAAAGAATTAAATTTAAAAAAAGGACATGAGACATGACATAAGACTGACATCACACACAATGTACCATGCATTATCCCTCATGAACAAATATAACATCTGATGTTTGCAAACATGCTTACCATTATGACATCCTTCATGAATAAACATGCCGTCTGATGTTTCATTGGCTGCTGAGCATGTTGTCATGTGACAGGCTCACATAGTGGTGAATTCTCTCTTAAGCTCAAACATTTTTTTTTGTCCAGTACTGAGTCCTCTTTGATTCATTATGTGACAGAAATATGTCAAAATGCCTTGGTGTCTTGGTGAGTTGTCATAAATGTTGATGTAAGCACTGTGTTGATCTTCACTCATTCACACACACACACACACACACACACACACTCACTCACTCACTCACTCACTCACACACACATCTTAAAATAAATACAAATTCTGTAATCATTTAACTACTTCTTATCATTATTTTTTCTTTCTTTTCTTTGGTCTGGAACACAAAATGAGTTTTCTGAATATGCTTTGATAAAAAAAAACTCCATAAAATACAGCACAAAACACTAATATTTTCATTAAAATAATCAATTTTGTTTGCACGGAAGTGCTATGACAAAGGTATTTCAGCTGAGATTTTCGATATAGTACTTCATGTTAGCGTACTGCATATATGTGGGTGTGTATT